TGAACACTTGATTTTTGGGATAGAGAATTAATCTACTTGAAATTCTCTATCATTTGGTATAATTATTTCATGGAAATCATGCTTGGATGATGAATTTTATGATTTGGGTGGATGAAGAACAAGTTTGATTTTGGTGATTTAAAGCTTGATTTTTATGTTATTAAGGTTGTAGATTAATTTTCAACCTTATGTGATGAGTAAAATTTATTGAATTTGCGTATATAAGTTTTGACTAAGCTAGGATTCATGGATATTGGTTGAATTTTGATTGAATTTGGTGTTTGGATGATTGGAATTGCATGAATTTAATCATAGAAGCTTGAATTCATGCTTGAAATTGAATGAAAAATACACCTTAATTTCTTAATTAGGTTCTTCCATGAGGAAATATTAGGGGGAAAATGTTCAAAAATTTTCTAAGATCATATTAGATGAGTTTTACATGCTTTGGAAGTTAGTTTGGATCAATTTGGTACCTTGAGATAGTAAAAGGACTATATTGCAAGTTTAGGGAATTGTGAGACATTGAAGTAAAAAAATTCAATTAAAAGAATTCAATGTTAAAATTTATTATTTGGGTGATTAATTTTAAGTTAAAATATTGATATAAGATCAAATTGCAAATTTGGTAAAGTGTGATGGTTGAATTCGAATGGATTAGTAGATAAAGGATTGAATTGTAATTATGCAAATGTGAAGGTATTGAATTGAATATATTTTACAATGCTGGAATGTTTGGGATTGACTTGAATAAGTAAAAATGATGAAGGATCAAGATACAAGTTGTAAGAATTAATGAAAAATTAAGGATTCAAAGTAATGAAAACTGTTTAAATTTTTAAATTTGATAGTAAGTTTGAAAAATCACCATAAATTCTATAAAAATGATTAGGATATGATTTTTATACCGTTGTGTTCATATGTCAATATATTTTTGTTTAAAACAAACGGGGATCAATTTTGAATTATATAATGAAAGATATGAAATTTTGAAATCTAGTTTAAAACAAACAGGGTAATAGATTTTGCTCAAAACAGATTCAGGAAATTAGATTAGAAAGTTCACTAAAAATTGTACAAGTTGAATTAGAAGGATTTCTTTATATGGTTAGATTCATTTTCAAATCTAGTTTCAAACGGGAGAAACAAAATTAAATTCTAGTGTGTAGATTAATATAGAATAATGATTCTTTTAGGGTAGTGCAAGTTGTCAGAATATGGAAATTTTAGAATTGAAGTGGAAATGGATTAGAAGTTTAAGAGTAATGCTTAAATGTATGATTAGAATGCTTGATTATGTTTTTGGATGCTTGAAATTGAAGTTAATGGAAAGGGACTATTTTTAATAAATTGGAAATATTGAGAATGAATTCTAAAAGAATTTATTTTATTGGTTACATTGGTGGAATTTGAATTGATTAATTGAGTATGAGTTGACATGAATGATAAGATGATTGAAGTTATATTTTAAGTATTATGGTTAGCATTAACGTTTTAAAATGGATTTAGTATCGAATAAGTGTCGATAGAATTTTTATGAATTTTATTACTAGATTGTGCCTATGTTAATAAGATACTAATATATGCTTTGAAATGTATGTGATGTATAAATGATGAACATGAAGATCGAGATCAAAGAAAGGTTGAAGTTAAAGAAAAAGTTCAATAGTGAAGCTACAATCGGTAAGTAAGGTTCGTAGTTAGACATTTCCAGGTGAGTGCAATACATAAATAACATGATACATGGATGTTTATACATCATTAGGAAGACTTGTGATGAGTCTACCTTGTTTATATTAGCATGATATGTATGTCATTAATCGTATATTTGACATATTTTAAATATGTCAAAAGTTAATATAAAATGCATTGACCCTTAGTTTATTTATGATGTTATATAATGAATGTTATTTCAGGTATGAACTGTCCATTGTTAAATTATGTTGATATACAATGTCATGAATGAAATAAATATAAACTATATGCCCAAGTAGGTCATTGAGGGACAGTGGTATAGTTGGCATGTCATAGAGTCCAGCAACAGGCTGCATATTTGATTTAGCACTATAGTGTATATAAAGGACACTTAGTGCATATGGTGGGCATGACCTTATATGTATTACCACTTTGATGCATATTTGACTCGTGTACCCAAAGTTCTCATAAGCTTATATTTGGGTTATGGTTTATTGGTTAATAATTATAAGCAGATGATTAAGCTTATGAGCTTATGGAATAAACGAAAAGTATATTGGTAAGAATTTGTATACATTGTTTATTTCATGTTAATATGTGTAACATGAAGGTAATACATGTAAAGTGATCATGATACATTGAATATTGTTATTTCTTTATATATACAATGTATTTCACTGATTATTATTATTGCCTCACTAAGTGTATACTTAGCGTGTGATGATTTTATCACGTAGGAATAGAAGAGCGTTCGGAGTAAGGAGCTAGGCTCAACATCAACTTTTGAAGATTAGATCTGGTCCAGAATCAATATGATATCTTTTTGAACGTTGGAAGTACTAGTTTATATGTATACTAAATGGTTGTGATACTTAAAAATAATTGTGTTTGAATTTGGTTTTGATAGATAGTATTTATTGTTATTGTTTATAAAAAAAGATTAGTTGATTGATATTTTAGTTAAATGAATTTTTAATGCTATCGAAATGAAATAATTTAAGATCTTGATAATAATTGAATTATTTTATAAAGAAACAAATTTTATTGATTTTCGAATAAGGATTGTATTAAAAGAATTATGTTACATCCTGGACTCGTATACGGTAACGTATACGAAAAATGGGTGTTACAATAAATATTGAACCCAGAATCTAAGAAAGATAAAAATGTCAACTGGATTTTTTATAATGATATAATTGTGATAGTTTAAATTACTTCACAACTAAATCATCACTACAAATGTATATTTATGGTTACAATTTGTCACAAGTAAACGTTCAAATTGGCTTCAAATTCTATTTTCATAGAAAATTATTTAAAACAAATCAAGCAATCATTATTTTTAATCATTATTCTAATTATACAATTATTTGTCACCATAAAATATAGTACCTTTTTTATAAATTTGAAATCATGGCGGTTCCAATACCACTTCACAAATAAATTGTCATTAGTGTATACTTGTGACTAACTAAATTTGTCACTATTAATTCATTAAGTATTGGGACCAAACTATTTAGTCATTTTTATTTTGAAGCTATATATATATATCACGTTAGGAGGACCCTAAAAGCTTTTCATTGTTATCTTATTTACAGGTGCTTATCGAACGAGTCGATCGCAAATTTAGTAGTATTCAATCATATTCACTAAAAAATATTACTGTTCGACTCAATTTGTTGCTTGTTAAGCTCGATAAAATTTTTCTCGATTTACATTCATTAAAAAAATTAGTGTCTAACTTGACTCGTTGCTCATTAGTTCGACTCAAAATTTTACTTTATTATTAATTATATGTAAAATATAATAATACTATTAATTTTTTTAGCGAGCATAAGCCGAGCAATTAATAAAAGGCAGAACTCATTCTCTCCTTTTTCTAATAATTATCATTCAATAATTTAATTATTTTTTGTTCTCTATTAAAAATTAATAAATTAATATAATAGTAGTAATTATTAATTAGTAATTTAATATATTTCTTATTATTCATTAGTAAATTAGTCATCATAAATTAGACGTTTTTAATAATAAATTTTAAGGTAATTGCTAAACTTTATAAAAAAATAATGAATTATTTGTGAACTTATCGAGCCATGTTGGACATTGTTCGACTTAACTTATTAGAACTCAAATCAAAGTCAAGTTTAAATTAAGTGAACCTCATTAATCAAATTTTAACTAAATCGAATTTAAACAACTACGAACCGCTAAACTCATTTATTACCATAATTCCACTAGTCTCCTGTTTTCCGTCGTCATTCACCACCGGTTCAAAGCACGGTTCACAAAACTCCCTTGTGTCGCGGGCCAACAATTGAACCCGACCCCAAATAAATGTTTAGATCGGTGCTAAGTTCAATTTTTTAAAGAAATTATTTAATAATGACAATATATTAAGTAATAAGCATTTTAATTATTATTCTAACTATACAAATTATATGCCACTATCAAATATACATTTTTATGATTTTGGAATTGAAGAGTTCAAATATCACTTCACTTTCAGCTTGACTCAATCTAGTTTTAGTTTTACATAAATGTTTAGAACAAAAAGTGATACATTCATGCATGGTATATGCTTCAACAATTGACTTTTCTATACTAGCCTTATTTCTCAGATATGATTCTAGCCTACGTAAGAACTGCCTGATAAGATACATCTACTGAAATTTTACTAGTCTGGTTATATTTACGAGACTTTGTCTGGATTATGGTTAAATTGATATTTTATCTTAAGTTTAGGATCAAATTAGTATTTTATCAAACATTTATGGATCAAATTAAAATTTAAACATTTTTGTGAACGTATTATGTATCAAACTAACTAATAACAGTTAATGAATTAGTGATAAAAATAAGACAAATCGAAAACAAAAATGATCAAAATATAATTGTTTTAAAACTGGTGACTAAAATAAAACAGATCAAAACTAAAAAGGACCATTTCCGTTGTTTATTAAAATGAGGTGATATGAGCTAAATCTAAATTCAAAGAGGGACTAATGGAAGGATTTTACCTTTGATTTTCTTGTAATTCGAGCTTTGGTCTGATGCATTGTATAATAATTAAAAGCAGAGCATTGGAGTGTAATTTCTTTTCAATTTTCATGAATCATGGTTTGGGTCTGAAAACAGAGAGTGCGAAAGATTCTTTCTTCTTATAACATTTTATTTTTTTTATTACTTTCTTCTCCAGCGAAGCAATAGTGTATTCCTCGTGACTCGTGTTCTTCTTCCTCCTCTTTCTTTATCTTTTTCATTTTCTTTTGATATAATCCTCTAAACGCACCTTCACGCCGCTCCTCCCAGACCTTCATCGCCGTTTGTGGCTTCTCAGTGATAGAGAGATGACTTCGGATGGGACGACGTCGAGGCCGGCTCCAAGGAGGAAACCGTCGTGGAGGGAGAGAGAGAACAACCGGAGGAGAGAGAGGAGGAGGAGAGCAATTGCTGCCAAGATTTATACTGGCCTTAGATCACAAGGCAACTACAATTTGCCCAAGCACTGTGATAACAATGAGGTGCTCAAAGCTCTTTGTGCCGAGGCTGGTTGGGTCGTTGAAGAAGATGGCACCACTTATCGCAAGGTTTCTAACTAATCCCTTTTCTTCTTTCCATTACACAATGTTAGATCTCTGTAAAAGAACCTGTCATCTCTCTTTTACTTTTCTGCCTAGTTAAGTTTGATCTATTTCCCATCTTGATTTTTATTTTGATTTTGCACTCTGGGGTTTTATGATCTGTTTGATTTTTTATTTTGTTTAGTTGCATTTTTATAATTAGACTAATTAGTTGATCTGGAACAAAAAAATGATACATTGATGAACAGCTTTTTAATGATTAGCTTTCATCTATCGCGTTTCTTTTTGTGTAATTCTGTTGATGTGTTCTGGGTTTTAATTGAATTTGTTGTTTAGGGATGTAAGCCGCCTCCAATAGATATACCTGGAAGTTCAAATAAGGTTACCCCATTTTCTTCCCAAAATCCTAGTCCATTATCCTCTGCATTTCCTAGTCCAATTCCTTCATGTCAAGTCAGTCCTTCCTCCTCTTCCTACCCTAGTCCCACTAGGTTCGATGCTAATAACCCGTCGAGTATCCTTCCATTCCTTCGAAACGCCATTCCGTCATCTTTGCCTCCTCTCAGAATCTCAAGCAGTGCACCTGTGACACCACCTCTTTCCTCTCCAACCTCAGGAGATCCTAAGCCAATTCCCAACTGGGAGGCCATTGCAAAGGAATCCATGGCCTCTTTTAACTACCCGTTTTACGCTGTTTCTGCCCCGGCTAGTCCAACCCACCGACATTTTCATGCCCCAGCTACTATACCTGAATGTGATGAATCCGATTCGTCCACGGTTGAATCTGGTCAATGGATAAGCTTTCAAAAGTTTGCAACTTCTACATCTCAAGTGCCAACTTCTCCAACATTTAATCTTGTAAAGTCTTTGCCCCCACAAAATTTGCCCAATGATATTGTCATGGTAGATAAAGGTAGAGGTGTCGAGTTTCAGTTTGAGAGTGGACAGGTGAAGCCATGGGAAGGAGAAAGGATTCACGAAGTAGGAATGGATGATCTGGAGCTCACGCTCGGAAGCGGGAAGTCTCGGTGTTAAACCAAAGAAGAAAAAGCTGTTTTGGGCCTTTCCTGGTTCACACAGTCAGATATTGAGGAGAATTTTCAGCTCTGTTCTTTCATATGCTCAATGAGAACTGGACATCTCAAACCAAAGATGGGGAGGAGTACTCACATTTTCATCTGCAATTGTTATTTTATATGTTTTTTTTTTCAGTTAGTTGAAGCTGAAATTCCCTGGTTGAATTGTCATTACTGGTAGATACCAAGGGAAATTTCTGGTTGTGATAGAGTTGTTTAACTTGTAGGCTTTTGGATAAAAACCTCACATATTTAAGTTTTTTTTAGTGGTTTGAATTGTTAATGGTTTGTATGATGTTGGTAAGCAATTTCTTCCCATGTATGGTGTTGAGGTTTCATTCACTCCTACAATCAGAACTTAATCCTAAACCAATAGTTAAGCACAAAATTTTAGTCACCAATAATTAACCAATATTATATATATATATATATATAACAAAAATATTCATTTTTAAATTATTTTTTTCCAAATAAATTTGAGGTGAATGTAAGGTAGTATATGTTCATTGACTCTCAATCATTTTAACAAAGAAGTTTATACTTGTCACAACCCTAATTTCAGATAAAAGGGACCAAATTGCAAAATTTCAAGACTTGCAAATCATTTTAGCACATGTAGGAAGTTTAGGGACTTAACCCCTAATTTCCCTTTTTTTGTTGTCAAGGAAAAAATAAAAAGAAATAGAGTTGATGACTATGAGATTCAAACTCCTATCCTCCGGGAAGGTCAACCATGCCCTAGTCATTTAGGTTAGGGTACTGTTTAGGTATTTTATAGTTAAAATACATTTTAAGGTGTTAAAATCGGATTGTAATACCAAAAAACCTCTAATTTCCTAAAATCCCAAATCCTTAACCCCCATAATCACACCCCATCGCCTCCCAAATCCATCATCGTCCAACCACCTTTGGAGCGCACTGTCACCCCACCGTGACCTCCACCTCGCTTCGACCAAAACTCCTCCAACCCCTCTTCAATTTACATCGTCGTTCTCCGTAGGGGAGATCACCAAGGTTACGCTGAAAACCAATCCAACACCTTGCTTATCCCTCGAATCCTACCGTTTAAGGCGTCAGCTTGCCTCATTGCCGTCGTAGCCGAACTCGCCGTCGTCGTGCGCTAAAAACCTACCAGGTGGGATGCACCGTCGTTTTCATCCTAGCCGTTCACCGTCAGGGCAAGTTTCGAAAAACAAATCGATGAGTTTTAGGCGAATGTTGTTGTGGTTTTGGATGAATATTGGATTAATTCAAGTGTGTAGATGATCTAGGATCGATCGTCTGTTCAAAATAGCCCCTGTCGCTGTCACGCGCGCCACCATGTGTCGACAGTGCGCGTGGGGCTCCTCCCCGATCTTAGAACTTCCTAGAACTCGAATCGGTCTGAGTCAACTTGGATCGAACCGAGTCAACCCGAGTCGGTCTGACCCGTTGACCTTGAACTAAATCGTCGACTGTTGACTGTTGACCTAACCGTTGACTGTTGACCTACTCGTTGACTTTGACTTTGATCGTTAACCGTTGACATTGACTAAAAAGTCAAAATTTCTGAAAAGTTACATTTTATCTTTTTCAACGTCCCGAGTCCGAATTCGAAGTCTACTTTGCCAAGTTCAAACCCGATAAGCTATTTTTTTGCATTTTATCTCCCGATTTAATACAAATTTTCACGTTTAAGTTTCGTTTCTAATGTAATTGGTATAAGAGCTTAGGTTGAGTCTTCTTTCTGGGTAGACCGGTCGGCCGACCATCGTCGTGCACTCGAAATCTATCCGGTGGGATGTACTGTCATTTTCGTCCTCGTCGTTCACCATCGGGGTAAGTTTCGAATGAATTATGGTGAGTTTTAGGCAAATATTGTTGTGATTTTGGATGAATATTGGATTAATTCAAGTCTGTAGATAAATTGGGATCGATCGACCGTTCAAAATGGCCCCATCACCGCCACACGCTCCACAACGCGTCGGCTGTACCCGTGGGGCTCCTCTCCAATCTTGGAACTTCCTAGAACTAGTTTGAGTCAACTCGAACCGGTCTAAGTCAACTCGGAGCGAATCAAGTCAACATGAGTCGGTCCGAGTCATCCCGAACCGGTCTGACCTGTTGACCTTGACCTATATCATTGACTTTGACCTGACAGTTGACCTGACCATTGGCCGTTGACCTACCCGTTGGCTTTGACTTATACCGTTGAGTGTTAACTTTGACAAAAAAGTCAAAATTTTCAAAAAGTAATATTTTATGTTTTTCGATGTCTTGAGTCTGTATCTGAAGTTTGTTTTTCTAAATTCGAAATCGGTAAGCTGTTGTTCAACGTTTTATCTCCCGATTTAATACAAATATTCACGTTTAAGTTCCATTTCTAATGTAATTGGTTTTGCTATTTATCCGATACATTATGGGACATGGAATTAAAGTTCGAGGGCGATCAAATGGAGTTTACTTGGTTAACCAATGTGGCTCAAAAATTGAGGTAATACTTTACTACATCTTTGCATGCTTTATAGAACATGTTGATACTGAGTAAATGCATCAATGTTTATGATTGGTCTTATTATGCATGTTTGGTTATGAATGGACTCAAACTGGATACGATTTAAGTGATAAATTAGTTAAGACTCGATTGAATTGCACAAAATGAATTAATCTTAGATCCTTAAACTTTGAATATTATCGTTAAATGTTTTGATGTCGAAAATGTTTGGAGAGAAAATTACAAAGATACCTTATGAAGTAAAAAAGAGAACAAAATTGGCCCGAATAGTGAAATTAACCTTATAATTCATTCTTGACCTGATTGAACTATAGATCCACCGACTAAACTCCTGACTTGTTTGGAAGACTTGTAAATCGGTTGGAAGACCTGAAAATCAGTTCCTAATCCTCTAGATCGGTAATAACTAAAATAACCCTAAAAAGTCATCATTGATCTGATAAACTCTTTATTCACTTGATAAATACTCGGCTTGTTTAGAAACATTCTGTTTACCGATTTTAATTCCCGAGGCGATAAAAGATTTAAAATTTTTGATTTTGGAATAATCACCCGATGATTAAATTACTGGAAATGATATATATATATATATATATATATATATATATATATATATATGAATATATATATATATATATATATTACTGAATCAAAGAAAATGATTGGAATACCTCAAACTCTAAGATGACTGAAACAATCTCGAGTACAAAAATGACTATACTACCCTCATGTTATAGAAATAAGTGAATTTTATTTGATAATTCTGGAAACACTGAGAAAACCTAAGTATTATATCGCCCCTAAAGGTTTTGGAGTACGACTCAAGTACATCGGTCATGTTATAGATTGTTGTAATACATAAATAAAGCAAATACCATCGGAGTATGTACAATTCCTCAAGATCCGTTCAATGATGGTTTTGAAGATGATTATTTCGACTAGTATTGTCAGTATTAAAGTGTGAATATTTTTGAAGTGCATCGATTTGAGTGGTTAACAGTTATAACAGTGCTGGGATTTGTTCAGTTCGAGTTGACCCGATATCCTGATAAATCGACATGAATCTTGAATATCGTAAATCATCGTTTCATCCTTATTGGATTAAGTTGCTAAGAATCCATTAGAAATCAAAGTTTCCTATAATACCCCAAATTTTGACTAGTAACTAAAATGTAAGTTTTGAAAGTTTAAGGGCTAAAGTATAAACTTTGTAAAAGTTTAGAGACCATAATTATAATTTTAAAAGTTATATATTTTAGCTCGTAAATGAAAATTTTGGCCTAGAACAAGGATTTTTGTGGGAATCAGATTTTCAGTATAGGATTTGTGTTAAAAGCTATAAAGCGATAAAGTTCGGTATTGAAATCGGATAATCGGATCGAACTGGAATTTTACGAAAATTTGAAGGATGTTATAAAATGGTTGTAAATATTATTTTCATATTTTATATCAAAGAAATTTGACTCAGAACAGTGTAATTTTTCTGATTTGACCGAACAGTGGAATTTTAGTGACTAAAATAAATTTTTGGAAAATTTGATGGTCATGAAGGGAAATTGAGAGATGAGATTTTTACATCCATTTAAGAATATTAAAATAGAATTAAAGGAGTGGAATGGAGGTAAAAATAGGGATTCATTAAGGGTAATTTAGACTTTTAGATTAAAATGAATTAAAAAATCAATTGAATTAGCTTTTAAAAGTCAAAGTTAGGAGATAATTGCTTAGAATTTTCAAGAAATCAACTTTTTTCTTCCAGCAAGTTGTCGAACCTCCATAGCCAAAGGTGAGTTTGTTGTTGTTTTTTTTTTAATTTTTGGTTCATTTTTATTAAGATTTTAAGTTAGGTTATTAAGGATAAAATAACCTACATGAAATTCTCTTTCATTTGGCATAAAAATCTTCATGTTTTATGTTTAAGTTGGTGTAATGTGGATGAAGGGAAGTGTGATTCTTATGATTTATGGTTGATTATTGATGTTAGAAGTGTTGTGAAGTTGAAATCAAGCATGAAAGTTGTTAAAAATCAAGTTTAAGAAAATATTTATGGTTCATCCATAGGGTTATGTTTAGGAAAATGTTGTGTTTGATTTATATTTGATATGGAAAGGAGTTGAATTGGTTGTAAATGTTGTGTGAATGATGAAACTGAGCTTGAATCAAGTTTAGAGATTATTTTGAAAAGAATAAAACTATTCAGCCAAAGGGAAAATTAGGGGAAAACATTGAAACATTTCCTATGGTTTAGAATTGATATTGGAAGTGTTATAAGTGACTTGGAGATCAATTTGGATCAATTTGGAACCTTGAAAGTAAAAAAAGGCTAGTTTACAAGTTTTAAGGATTTTGGGACATTATTGTATAAATGTGAAATTTGGAGTATTCAATGATAATATTTAGTATTAAGATGCTGGAAAATTAAGTTGCAAAGTTGGTTGGAACCAAATTTCAAGTTAGGTAAAAGTTAGGGGTGGAATTTGAAAAGTCCAAGAAATATAGGGACTTGATTTCAAGTTTTTAAATGTGAAAGTAAACATTTGGGTAAAATAATACATTTATGGAAATTTTATTTATGTGTTTATTTTTGAGTTTAAATGTTGAGTTGGGATCGAATTCCAAGTTTTTAAATATTCAAGTGTTGATTTGAATATTTTATTAACGTACTGGAAATTTTATGTGATTAATGTGACATGATCATAATAGTGAAAGGCTATTATGAATTTAATGGGAAGTTAAGGTGAATTATAGAAAAAATTCATAATTAGTGGGTTG